TTATAAATAGGGCAGACAGACACTTGAATAAAGGACATTTGTGATGATTCAAGCAGTATAGAATAAGAAATGTTCTGAAAAATTCTTGGAATTTTGCATAGATACGTGAAGATTTGATTCTTCGAAATCAGTGTTGGTGTAGTTTATGTGGTAAAATATAATTATTTAAAGGAAAAATATTAGGAACTTTTCTCTATATTCTTAACATAAAAATATTTATACTACTTTATACAGTTTGTATCTACATCATAATCATATATGGCACCATTTTTGTGTAGAAAATGTGATTTTGAAAGTTCATTTGAAAATATTTTTATGAATGTTAACAAATTGTTTAATATAAATGATAAAGCAAATTATAGCATATCATGTGGATCATAGTTTATACATTATATACATATAAATACAGATCACCAGTTTTTATTGTGCAATGATTGTTTCATAACCACAGCTTAGTGCAGGGGAGTACAATGTACTACTCCCTTGTACACTGCTTCCGTAGCCTCCAAAATTCCCAGAACTTGTACTGTTAAATTTGGGAAGCAAATCATCATTCTTCAGCATTATATTTGTTTACATAGTGGTTGAAAGAATCTAATGAGCTCCTAACAAAGAAGTATATAATCAAAGAAAAGTTATATAACCATGTACTAAATAGCCTTTATTTGGTAGTGCTTTATATTTAAAAAATCTGAGTAGAAAAAAAATCATTTTTTAAAAATGTTTTCAAGTATCACAGGCAGTTATGAAAATTTGGCATCATGAGTTTAATCTGAAAATCCTTTTAATTCATTTGTATCAGATGAACATACTACTAAGTACATAATAAAACCGAGTTTCACAATTACAGTATTACCTTAGCCGAATTGATAGTATAAGCTTTTATCCATTTAAGAAGTTCCTGAGGGCTCTCTTTTCTGACAATGTTATTAGGATTATGGACAGAGGAAGTGTAATATTGATGGCAAATTCTGACTACTTTGCCTCCAGACAGACATTCTTCTGAAACCACACCTGTTTCAAGGTTTCTAGGCACCTTCAAATTCCCAGGAGTTTTAGGAGTTGGATGCCTTCATCTTTTAACTTCTTCGGAGGTTGTGGTTCCTTGAGTCTTTGCATCTCTAACCATTTAAAGTTAACATTTATATTCATCAGGGATGACTCATATTTCTTACACCATTCTGTTTCTACCTTAAGTTACTGATTTGTAATATCATCAGAGAATAAAAACAAGTTTTACATGTTTACTCTGCTTATGGTGGCATATACTTAGGAAGGAATTAGTTGGGGTGCTTTACTTTGAAAACACTACAGAGAGAGACATAAATCTTTCTTGAGTGGTATGCATATATGCTGACATTCAAAACTATTAACATTATTCAGAGTACTTCTATTATAATAAGAGAAACACAAAAAGATGAGAATTTGAATAAATTAATAAATGAATCCTTTATTAAAGCCAAAGGCCAATCACTTACAACAGCCAACTAGCACTAGCACCTAATAGCAAACACTAAAAGAAATAGTAATATAAAAGCAATAGGAGATTATGCTGAACAGGCCGCTGTGCAATTTTTTTCATAGATAGTGGCAGGCTGCCTGTCTCAAAATAAACAGCTAAGCAGGGATTCATCCAGGTGGCCTGAACTTTGTTAACAGGATCACAATAAATGTATTGTGTAACTCCCTAGAACAGTGTTTCTCAACCTTGACAATTTTAAGGCATGTGGACTTCAACTCCCAGAATTCCACAGCCAGCAATGCTGGCTGTGGAATTCTGGGAGTTGAAGTCCACATGCCTTAAAATTGTCAAGGTTGAGAAACACTGCCCTAGAAAATCTGCAGTGTACCAGGACATGCCCAACTGTTTTGACCATACCTGAGAAACAGGGCCAGCTGTGCTTCTTACAGGAAGGTTTGAAGAGCAAGCTTTGTAGTGATACCTAAATACGTTTTTCTTATAGAACACAAATGCTTCACAAAAATATTTATATTTTTGTTTCATTATCAGAATTACAAAAGAATAGACTGATTTGTAATTACACAATGACACCACTGAATATTTATACCAGATCTTCTAAAACAGATTTCCTGGAGGTTAGGTTATGAGGAAATTTAGACTCTGCTGCAAGCAACTCTTGCCTGGCCTCACCTTCCCTTTCTTCCAAAGGTGGCTTTTGCTACCCTTCTTCCTGGGGGATGTTATATACAGGAACTGATACTAAGCCTGTGCACCTGCTGCAAGCAGCCCTAAAGCACTGTGCCTCTTCTACTTCTTGCAGAAGGCCAGTGTCCTACAATGGAAAGCCAGCACATTTTAGCTGAAGATATTTCTGGAGAACATCCCCTGCAAGCTGGACATGCTCAACTTTGCCATTCTCTCTTCTTCTGATGCTCATTAGATGGCTTTTTCTATGTGCTTTGTGTGCTTATTCATAAAGGGGGAATATCGCATGAGTTCTCTATACATTTCACTAACACTAATCTACTCGGCACTCTCACAGAATAAGTACAGTATCCTCCCTCATTCCAATATCGGGAGAAGTTTTTTATTTATTTAAAAGATTTATATGGCCACCCATCTTGTGCAACTCTGGGCAGCTTACCATAGCCATAAAACCAATAAATAAAACAATCATTAGAAAAACAGAAAACAATTAAAAAATGTATCATAGTTCCCCCCACCCCACCCCCGGAAGCTTCACAACATATTCAGCTATCCTCATTCCATGCCTTCTATCCATATAATCCCAGCGCCTCGGTAAAAAGACAGGTCTTAACAGCCTTCTGAAAAGCTAGAAAGGTAGGGACCTTTGAAATTGCCAGTGGGAAGGTGCTCAACAAGGTAAGGGCAACCCTGGAAAAGGCAGGTTTCCAAAATCCTTCTAGAGGGCAGGATCTGAAGTGTGCTACCTTATCTGATCTAGTGGGATAGGTGCTTAGTTGATAATATGATCTGATGTTTTACCCCAAGTACTCTTGGTGAGAGCCAGTTTAGTGTAGCGATTAATGTACAAAAAATGAGAAATGAAGAAATTATGAGTCATATACAGTAAGTCCCCCAGGCACAGAAGCTGCCTGGATGACATTCAGACCAGCCTTTCTCTTAAAGTCTAATCCACTTCACAGATTTGTCAGTATGGGGAAAATAGGAGAAGGGAGCATTACAGAATTGAATACTGAGTTGTAAAAAATAAAAGCTGGAAATAAATCTAAAAAAAGGAGTTAATCTTTGTTTCATGTATATATTTTATAATAAATAGTTCAAATTTTTCATTGTAAGTGCTAATCTGATGTATAAAATTGCAACAGTTTTATTTCATTTCAGATGTATTATATTTTTCTCTAATTTTCATTGTGTTATATTAGAATAAGTAACTTAAAAGATCATATATTTGAATATCTCTATATCTAAACGAATAAAACTGTTAACAGTTCCTTTCATAACGTACTGTTTTAATACTGCAAGATTCTCAAAATACAGTGAGATCAATAATATTTTCTGGTGCTAATATTCAACTGTATTTAACTGATGAATATTCAGTGACAGATAAGTCAACTCACTGAAATATTATATTTCTCTTGCAAAACAAATAGTGTTGCTGTACATTATGATCCAACTTCAGTCAAGTAAACAAGAAACAATAAGGTGTGAACAAGCAAATTTAAAAAATTAAACTAGCATGAAAAATGAAGTTAAAATATATAAAATAAAGTATAATTTGTACATTTGAATTTGGGAAAAAATGAGATTAAAAAAAACCCCAAGAATGAGTAGATTAATTGGTTTTCCTGATGTAGCTTCATTTTAATCAGATGCTTATTGATCTGTTTTGTATTAACCAGCTTGATGTTATAAATAAAGTAATTTCTCTCAAATTCCACTCTGGTGTGGAATGTTATCTAAAATAAAAGCAATCTTGAAAAGGAACAACTACAGAAGTAAAGCTTGGTGGGAGGACTCAGAAACTTTCCCTTTACATGAAATCATTAAACAGTATTCCTATTTCTTTATACTCAAATGGGACAGATCTGCATTTATAGAAACTAAAATTTATTTAATTTTATATTGTTAGCAGGATTATTGACCAATCATTTATTTCCTTTTTGACATATTAACAATTGCAATTTGAAAAAAGCTAAAGGATTTCTGGTGGACAAACTTGTAATATTTGGGGTCATGTATAACATCGGGGTCTCAGAATATGCATCTTTGATTTAGAATAGGGATGGGCAATTTTCCCAATGGGCCACATGAGAAACTGGGACTGTTGTGGTGCGCCGGGCTGTGAAGATCCATAGACACACACGCCCGTACATACGTGTTTTTTTAAAAAAAAAAAAAAAACAGTTGCCTCAAAACAAAAGCAATGCAGTTGTACTACATGCAAGGCACACTTTTATTGACCTCACACAGGCCTGATAGGGACAGCCAAAAGGACAGATGTGGCGGGGGGGGGGGCATAAAATGCTGATTTGGTCTAATTTAGAATATAAAATGAAGTTTTCCAAGTTACTTATGTCTCTAATTTTCAGACTCAAATAAACAAAGTAAAAAATCCAGATTGGAGACATTCAGGAATAAAAAGACAAAAAAAATATTTATTAGGATATCATAAATCATTAGGAAATGTTAGGAAAAATATACCTTCATTATAAACCTTCATGTTTCCTTTATACTAGGATATTTGCAAAAGCTTTGGTTTTTACAATAAGAACATCTAAGCAGTTTATTAAAAGTTTAGTTGTACCACAGAATTGAGTGGCTCTATTCTTTCTGTTAATGGTTACTGCTTCATTCATTACTAAGTACCAGTAAAGAAATACAAGTTGGATTATAAACCTGCATTTCCAGAATAACACAGAGAAAATTATAAATATAGTCTCATCATTTCCAACTCTGTATCTGATCTAAGGAATAAAGAACCTTTTAAATTCTTCTTTGTTACCTGCCCAAGATTCATTTTAGATTAATCTTTTATTTTGGTTTATTTCTAAAGGACATCCATTACTTTGCACTAGATAAGGGTGAATTGGCACTAGCTGCAGTGGCAAAGAAAAAAGCTAACAACATTGACACAGAATCAATAACTACTGGAGTTGGTAAGAATGAACACTGTTTTTAAAAATGGCTTTTTGTTTAAATCAATACTTGTTCTTGTATCACTGTCATGTTATGCTTGTAGTAAGGATATAGACTAATTGGAATTTTTTTTTGGTTGGAAGAACAGTGTTGGCATCTTTATGAAGAAAGAAAAGCATACAGAAACAGCTTTTAGTGACAATGGCAGCATTTTAGAAGTCCTCAAAGGCATAAGACTTCTTGACAAAATAAAACAAAGATAACAAATTATACTATATTGACTATTGAAAACAAAAATCTAGATCTTGACATTTATATTGACAGTTATGCATTATATTCAAAGGAATATCCTCAAATGGTTTTTAGAGACATTTCCTTTAATAAATCAAATCTATCACCATCTTATTTGCAGATTTTATTCAAAAATATATATGTCAGTTCATACATCAACATCTTTCAAAAGTTCAAAGTTTGCAAAATTGGCCCTATCTACAATTGTATGAATAGTTATCAATGTTCTTAATGTATTTAATTTTGGTACAGATTGATACATCCAAAATATCTCCATTTCTTGAGATGTATTATTGATGCATATGTAAGCAAATGTTTATGTATATCAAAAATATAAAGAAAGTCCTGGCTTCAGGAATATAATTTTGCTTTGCTTTTCAGTCTTGTATTTTTGAAAACATGTGTGAATGCTCTATTGTTAAATGCAACAGATTAAAATACCTTATATTATATATTTTATTACATAAAATTAAAGAAGACAAATTTATTTGGGGCAAACATTGCATTCTCAGGGTAAATATGTTATTTTGATCATAGCAAATTTGTTTGGGAAAAATGTTAGACTTTGTGACCATTTGATTATGACATCAGAGAATTATCACTGGTCATTTTGCATTTGTTTGCCAATGCACATGTTTCTATACTAAAATATACATGATAACAGCTACCTTTCATTCTTAATATTTTCTGTGTTATTCCATTCACTTTCATAACCAAATAATCCTTGATCTGTACCCCATTCTTTAATAAGTGATTTGTCTCTCTTAAAACTTAAAACAGAAATAGTTTCTTCTTATGCAGTTCTCTGTGTCCATTGTAATAATCAGACTGGCTTATGTAGTTTGAACAGACTAAAGTAAGACAGTAAAACATTAGTTGTAATGTGGTAAAGAAAATTAAACCCTGAGTTTGTAATGTGACCTACTTATAAGAATGTTGTTTGCCAAATATAATATATAAGTTAATGAGCAACTATTTCCTGCCCAGTGAAAATTAAGAGTGGGTTTAGCAACTCAGGCAATGGAACATTTGCTTGTTTCATTTGAGATTTGTTGAAGGCAAAAACTAACTATCTTTTGCCTATTGCCTGGGGACAAATAAATATTGTTGAGTTTAATTAGATAAAAGCTTTTTAAGAGGCCAAAGTCTCAAAGGGCTTTTTATGTTTGAAATCCCATGTGAATGTATTTATAGCATTATAAGATCAAAATAGCACTTTTAGTTCTAAAAAGGTATTAAGTCCTGCTCCTTGTTCACCCCAGCTTCTATTCAAAGTGGAGACAGGTAATATGGACTATTGCTATAGAATTTTACATGAACTTTGTATATAATCATGTGATAATCTTCACCCTCACAATAATCTAGGAAAGGAGAATGTGCCTCCTATTTCATATAGACAGAACTGGAGCAATTTTCTCATTATTTTGTTGAAAAAATGATTTTTTTTTTCCAATATTCCAACTGCTTGTTGCTCCAGGGGTGTCTGGAGTTTAGGTCTCTGACATCACAGGTATAACTTTTTAGTATAACTGTATCCTCTCGTTAATAGCTGCCCTATTCCAATGCAACCATGTGTATTTAGAATTCTCATTGATTTTCAGAAAGTTAACCCTAACCCAATAAAGTCTACATGAAACTGTAATTTAAAAAAAACCCACTTGATCTTAGCAAAAATATCAATCTACTACCAACCCAATATATTACAGACATGGACCAATATAAATAGCTGTCTGCCATTGATTTTATATTTATTATTCAAAACATTAATATTTAAATTGTGGCCAGCCATCCCAGCACCATAGTGCAAAGTTTGAGCTGTTGCCATCTTCCTGGCCTCCAGTCACCTGCTATCCTGCTGGTCTGGGCTCCACTCACCCTGCTGACCCTGTCACTCTGCACTCACTGGTCCTGCCAGCCCCAACTGGCTTTTACTGGCTTACTTCCACGATGCTTCTGAAAGCCTTCAGAAAGCTCCTGAGGCCTTCCAAAGCATAATGACAATGGCCTGCTTGATTTAGAGCAGGGGTCCCCAATCTCCAGTCCTTGGACCAGTACTGGGCTGTGGCATGCCAGCAACCGGTCCACATAAACAAGCAAAGCCCCATCCATGGGATACAGGCAGCACACAAAACCATGCACTCTCTGGTCCGCGGAAAAACCTCTCTCCACAGAACCGGTCTCTGGTGCCCAAAAGGTTGGGGACCTCTGATTTAGAGAACAATGCAAGTAGCCTTGGGAAGAAGGCCTGGCATAGCCAGCAGTTGCCTCTCCTACAACCAAGCTGGCTACATTTATCAGCAGTGGGAGGAAGACAGCAAGTGTCACCTGGCCTCTGGCAGAGCAGCAGGGCTGACAGGGCAGTAGGGCAAGCAGAGCACAGGGCAGCAAGTCAAGCAGAAGAGTGTAAGGCATCCAAAAGGGCAATTGGGGGTAGTTGAAGACAAGGCAGTTCCTTAACTTACTGGGTTCAGTGCTGGAAAGGATTGTATCAGAGTGGGTCCTAGCCTAACAACTACCATAATTCAGTTAGCAATGGCAACAAAGAGTTCTGGAATTGCTTCTAGCAATGCAGTTCTATTTCTAGCAGGTGATGAGCTACACCTCAGAGGAAATGGGATAAATATCTTGGGAAACCAACTGGTTGAACTTATCCAAAGTGCTTTAAACTAAAACTGGAGGGGGAGGGAGATGAATTTTTGAAAGCTTAAATCCAAGTACAAATCTCAGGGCAATTAACCAAATAGTAAGAAAGAAGGGGAACTCAGATACAAAACAGGAGGTGTAAAACCCGAACACAGAATTAGTCAAAAAGGACTCAGATGCCTATACACTAATGTTCAAAGTATGAGGAACAAACAGAGTGAATTTGAAATCCTAATACATGAGGGCAGATATGACATCACTGCCACTACCAAAACTTGGTGGGATGAAACCCATGACTGGAACATACAGCTGCTAGAGGGATTCAAACTGTTCAAAACAGAACTAATAAAAGAGGTGGAGTTACACTCTATGTAAGAAATAATTACACCTCCATAGAAATACAACAAAACAATGATAAAAATGTGTGTATTTTAACCCAAATACAAGTCCAAATAGGCAAGAAAATGGAAAGAGAACCTATCCACTCTAGACAAGTTCAAATCACCAGGACCAAATGGACTGCATCCCAGAATTCTGAAGAAGCTGGCAGATGTGATCTCAGAACCACTGAACCATATTTTTCAAAAATTCTGGAGCACCAGAGTACTACCAGAGAACTGGAAAAGAGCTTAAAGCCCAAAACACAGTAAAGGCAATTAAAGCAGAAAAGTCCATTTTAATATTTCCCACGTTCATAACATATGAAATATTTGATAATTGGCCTCAAGAGAAATTATGGTTGAAATCATCTAATAATCAAATTCCAATTTCAGTAGAATCTATATTCTACTAAAACTACATTTCTTGTGATACACTGCACTCACCGTTGAAACTGCTATATGTTATTACAGTATTAGATTCGTGATTCATTTAATTTCTGCCTAATTAATTAAAAGAATAGGAATTTATGAAAAATAGAATGCCTTGTCTAGGATGAGAGGCAACTAAGAAAGTTCTCCAACAGACTTGCTCCAGCCAGAATCTAAGCTGGCAGTCTTAATTGATCCCCAAAGGAAATGTAGTTGTGTTAGAACATTAGAATTTGAATAAAGAATTTGTAGTAAGATTTTAAAGAATTTTGACTGTATTGCTTCTACGTTAGTAGATTCGTGGTAAATACATAACAGAGCACCAAGCAGCATCAAACCCAGAACTTTAGCTATAAATAGTTAATAACTGCTGGGACATAATTATTAGCAAATTGGCCTGCAGTTTAGCAATAGCAAGGGATGCTTTGGTTTATACTAAAAGCTCTTTTGTTTGGGTAGACCAGCAGGCAAAAGATTGAGAATAGGCACTTAAGTATTTAAAGGATTTTACCTGGGCAATGAATTTGTTCATCTAATTGGGGCCTGAAATTGGTAGTTTCTAAAGAATACCAATACTTTGGTTTTAGAGGAATTTTCTTTTAGTAATAGAGCTTTAAGGCATCTTCAGAGACCAACTTGGGTTACAAACAGTATGGCTGCATTGTTAGCATAAAGGAGAAAAGAGATGGGGCAATGGGCAAAAGAGGAGAATGGAATTCTGCCTTAGCAAACATCTCAATATTGTTAATGTAAAAGTGATGAAACTTGTAGTTATTACCAAGGAGAGATAATAACATTAAACTCTTAGCAAAACTAATACAAATTTAAATGACCTTAATACAGGTCATTTAAAATGCCATAATTAATAAAAGCTTGTGAAGATGAACAAGTTACTCATAAATACATTACTGCATTTTGAAGCCGATGTAGTAAATGTCAGTGTGTTTCCCAAGGCCAGCTTCCAATAAATTGCAATAGGTGGCAGCAAGATTAATTTATTTTAACCTTCAAATCAATTGCATTCACCCCAAAGGGATTCGTGTTGTGACAAGATTCCCAATAAATGATGCATAGTTCAAAGAGAAATTCCAAAGCCCTCTCTTTTTATAAAGAAACATTGTCTTTAATTGTTGGCTGCTTTGCAGTTTTGTAACATAAGAAACGTTTTCTATTATAACTTGTATACCTTCATTATTATTAAAGTCCTTCCAGGATTTAATCAGTGGCCCAATACCTAACATGAACTTTTGATTTTTTTTAAATTTTTTTAAAATGATTCACTTGAAAAAAGTTTTCAAGTTAAAGTTTAATTTATGGTTATATGTATGGAACTATAAAGTATCCTACATTAACTAAAAATCTAAAATATGTCATGTTACCTTTGTGAAATAAAACAAAATCAATTTTTAATCACATTTTAATATGATAAAATGTATTTTTAATCAAATTAAGTCATTATTGGGCAAAACAAAATAAACGATCTTTAGTATAGAATAGAATTACAGTAGACTAATGTGTAAACAATTGTATTACCATATTGTGTTTTATATACCATTACAGTAATCTCAGATTATATTAATAGTTGTACCACATTGTCTTCTGTGATTTTATGATTTAGTACAGCTGCACCAATTATCTTCTATATGACGCACAGATTATTTGTGCATGTATATGTGTGACGAGAGAGAGAGCAATCTATACCATCATATTAAAATTATGGACGCAAGAAATGGAAAACTGATGCACATTAATTATTTCTCTCTGGACTGGAGCCCAGCCATAGATTAACCTGAAATAAGATAAAATGTTATTATCTTAACATATATGTGCTATTTGTTACATAAAATGGTGATTTAGAGCAATTCTGTATAAAGATAAGGCAACTGTGCTCTTATTGTAGTATAGAAATATCTAACAATATTTCCATCTTTATTCAATGCAAAGATCTACAAACATTGAACTGTTTCAGAAATCAAAGCATAATAATGTGGCAACATCTGATGATGTGTTATTTAATAGAACAGTGTTGAAATGTTCATAAAACTGTAACCATGTTACTTAGAATAGCCACATCATAGAGCCATAATAGCTACATCATAGAGCTATTATAAAATATATTTTATAAAGCCACTCTGAGATTTACTTCTGTTTTAAATTTTTATACAGATATTATCTTCAGTATTTTATAGTTTTTAAACAGTGAACTACAGTCACTGCTTTATGTGGAAGCTGAGCAATAGCTCATGTTTTTTCTTGGTTTGATTAAAGGACATGGCCACAATAACTGAGACCACTTCTGTTTGCTTTTCCAATGTCATGCTATCTATTTTGATCTATATATTCCACTGCAAATGATTGACACTTCTAATATATATGTGTACATTAAAGGCAACTGGTTTTCCTAGCCTGTCCTTATTGAAATTTACATGATAAACATCATTTTCCCCTTGTATCATAACCCTTCCAATCAGTGTTAAATATTTAACATATGTGGTAGACTTTTCAGCTTTATACTAAGTCTTTGTATTGGTTGAAATGATTCATTATCAATCTGTATAATTTGCTCTCTGTGTACTGGAATAACACCCCTGAAACAAACATCATCAAATCATACTGAATCGGCTTGCAATATTCAGTAAAAATGAGGAACAGGAAAGGAGATGAACTGTATTTTAAGAAAAAAGTATTATGGTAGCATCCATAAATCCAGTATTTCAGCATTGTGTCTTCAATAATCGGTATAGTTTCCTTATTTAATACAAACAATGAACCATGAAGATACAGGGCACCAATAATATGATCGGCCACATGTATCAAGTACAAGGTGATGCTATCAGGAATCATCTTAGTGATGATATGTCATTGTCACTGCTGGCTACAATGAATAAGTAAACAAAGTGCCTTTCCTTAAGAATAAATCAACTCAGTATAACAAAAAAAAATCTTTATTTTCTTATTGATCCTAACCTTTGTAGTAATTTTAAATATAAATATTTACTATAAATATAAATAGGCATAGGTATATAGAGATATGGATTGGTTTATTCCTAATCATTAAGTTTGTGCATAAATATTGTTTACTATTATATTAGAAATGGGACTTTTCTACCAGCAGATGGATAAGGAATTTCAGCCAGAAATTATCTGATCCTAGGATTGTCACTTCTGAGTGCATTCATTTAGATAGTAGTTGGCAAAAACACATTCTTGTTAGCAGTTGGTATGCACACTGAGTTTATAACCTTTCTTCTGTTTATTCTGCAAGATGTAATATGATGTGACAGGGTGTAACACATCACAGATGTGTCAGCTAAGGAATTTCAAGAGGAATCATTTTTTCTAAACTTGAAAATAGGTGTTTTAACCAAATAGTGTTTCCAGAAAATTCATAGATATGGGAAGATATTACAGCAAAATTTTAAAACACTATAATAAAAAAATGTTAATATGTGTAATCTACTCACTCAAATTCTCTCGTATCCAGACTTTATGAAAATAGCTAATTAGTTTTGCAAATAGGCTGACTAAAAGTATTCTAAAGTGTGACCCAAAGTACAAATGCTGAACTATCAACACAGTGCACAGAAATTTCTGAATACAAAT